CGTTGTAAGTCCGCAGACGAACCGCTGTGCCACTGGGGGGCACCACTTGGTAAACAAAATCTGGAGTCAGCGTTAGTAGCCACATGATTTATGGGTTTGTATGTACGTGTCTTATGTATATTAAAAATGCCAAAAATAAAATAAAAGAGCAATATATACCATTGTATATTTTACTCTATATAAATTGTATTTTACCATTATATCATAACGGATGAAATATTTTGAAAATAACAATTAAACAACTTATACAACTGACATTAAACAACTGACATCTTTTGTATCTGTAATCTACTTTATTAGCTGGACCTATGAAACAAACTACTTATTTAACCAAAAGGGGGGACGAAGGCCGCCTGGAGGGGTCACTTGTTTTAACCACTCGCACCACTATACTGTAGTGTGTTGTCTGTCAGGCAATAGACACTAAAATGACATCACATAGGGACGCTTAACGTTGCAATTTGTACTATCGTGACGTCAGTAAAACGTGCACATAAGGTCAGTAACTAAAACCACCCATGTGTCCCAAGCAACAGTATTCAAGAAGAATCTCCATCTGGAAACAAGACCAAAAGAGTATTGTTCACCAAGATAAGGCTTCCAGTCATACTTTATATTCAACCGTCTGTACGACCAGATTATTTGAACGGACACTGAGAAACTATCATATCCATACACTAGATGGACTACAGAAAGCACGTTGAAAGAAGTGTTGAAAGAAGTGTGCTTCAGACATGACATCCTTATGTTAGAAATGGAAACTACGATATAAGGTTATTGTGGAAAATCATGGTCGTCAGGAAGAGCCTAACTAGACATGGTGACATGGATTGTAACAATGTGAAAATATTCTAAAATTGTTTTAATATAACACACTCAACCTCTGTATAAAAGAACATATGGACTACAGCAATTGAGGGACCACTTGTCCTCCAAGTTTGTTCTTGCATACCCACCCTAGGAAAGGTAAAAATTTAAACTCAATTGTTATTTTTCAAGAAATAATCGATTCTGCTCTTAAACTCTTGTAAAGTGTTATCCTCCACTTCTGGCAACGACAATTCATTTTATAAGTCAATTACCTACTTAGAAAATATAAAACTTTCTTAACTGGATCATAGCCTGTCTTTTTCAATTCGATAAATTGTGTTTTCTCATCCTATTACCTTACAAACATCCAGTCTTCTGTCATGGTTTGAGGTCGGGAACTGAAAACAGGCCATTTGAAACAGTTTTTGATCTGGTTCATTCCAAACTGGCTCATTATGTCCAAACGTAAAAAAAAAAAGTAAAAGTAAACGACACAAAGTAGTTAATAAGTAAATATGTGGCGACACCTTTCAGCCTACTATTTCGAGTGATACATCAAAATTCACGAATGTCAACAGACAGTAATCGCTTATATACTAGACTAAGTTTAGTAAGTGTTTGTACCATTACCGTGGTTTTAACGGTATATAAGGCTTAATAGTTCAGTTAACATCCTCTAGGTTCTTTTTACAATCCAAATTGAACATCAGAATTTATTTTTTTCTTAATCGAAATAGGGCATATTCTAACTTCAGAAAATTGAGGCTTAAATTCTATTAAGTATCGCTTAGGCCTAAAACTTAGAAGCTAAATTCTTGTGAATATAGACTTAGTATTATTATTATGATTCAGAGTTTAAATTTTAGAGAAGGTCTGGAAAGGTTATTGTGTTAGGTCTTACAGACTGTTATGGAATATCATAACTAAAAAGTTTAATTTGCGTGTATTACTCTCAGAATAATTGGTTTTATATTAAGAGCATTTAAAAAAATTCAAACTGGGCATTTTATACAATTTAAGTTCATACATTTTAAGTTTATATTCCGTTAGATACTGTCTAGACCTAAAACTCAAAAATAAAATTATTGTAATAGGCTTAGCATTTAGCTGTCATTACATTACCAGTATTTTATTTTAATGTGCGTACCATTGAAGAGGAATATAAGAAATAGAAATTTATATTAGAATACAAAAGTATTTGTTTTATTTATCTATTTATTTTATCATTATTAATGTCTGGGGTAGGTAATTCACAACAAAACATGGAGTTGGAAACAATCTTGTTTGTTTGATTTAGCGTAAGGTTACACGATAGGTTAGTTGCACTCTGTCCAATGCGGAAATCGAACCTCGGATTTTAGCATTGTGAGTCTGTAAACTTACAACTTACACAACAGTAGACAGTTTGATACAGACAAGTAATTTATGTATTTATTTATAACTGAAATCTGGAGAAGGTAATTTACGATACGGATTTCATACATTTGGTTTTCCAGGCTTATTATAACTGTAGGTGATAAATACATCTAGGCCTAAAGTGGTAACACTAGGTTTAGCAGTGGTAATACAAACTTCTTCATTTTGTATTTTTAGCTTTCTTAAACAACAGTAATTTTAACAATTAGATCTACTAAACAAGTTATTATTTTCAAATATTTAATGCATGACATAGATTCTATTATGGATTGTAATATTATTGTAATATTTCGTGTATAATATTTAATGTATAACACAATCTATAATATCTAACGTATATTACAGCATGTGAATTTGAAAAGGAAATAATTTTGATTTGTTAAATCATCCTTGTTATTTAAAAAGTAAAAAGTACAAGTGTTATTAAGTCAATTTGGGCATTGAAAGTTTGCCAGTAAAAAGTTAGATATCTTAACTTGGAAGCTTTTTTTTATTATGACTACTATTAGTTTTATATAAAAAGTAAATACAGTCTTAACGTTTACTTCTTTAAAGTTAAGATGATTCTACCTGTTTTTTCTTCTTTCTTTCGTATTTTCATCTGTTCTCCGTTGAGTCAGCGATAAGTTTAAGTACTTATAACGCTAAAATCCAGGATTCGATTCCTCGCAGTGGAATCTACTGAGTGGACAAAGAGCAAATCGCCCGCTGAGTAGCTTTGTACTAAAATGAAATCCGCAACATATAAAATATGAACATTATTGTGGTGTAACTGAATATATATATATATATATTCAAACTTATAGGCCTGGCATGGCCAGGTGGTTAGGGCGCTAGCCGTCCCTAATTTAGCAGTGCGAGACTAGAGGGAAGGCAGCTAGTCATCACCACCCACCGCCAACTCTTGGGCTACTCTTTTACCAACGAATAGTGGGATTGACCGTCACATTATAACACTCCCACGGCTGAAAGGGCGAGCATGTTTGGTGTGACGGGGTACATTTATTGCAACTGGAATAAGTAGAATGATGAGTATAAACAGGACAAGTTTTGACCATATTTTCTTGTTTAACTAACCCACTTTTACATCATATCTTTACAGGATTTTCCTTTTTATATAACCCAGCTCCTTTTGTAAATAAAATAATAGCTTTATATATTGCTAAATCCTTTATTCTACCTAAATTGGCATCAAAAGTATCAATAAATATCCATAAAACATGATATTATGTGTGATACAATTGTCAAACCAGCAGCGCTCCCTATTTTAGATTAATATCCACCAATGGAATTTCGTTTCGTGCCAAGTCTCCTTTGTTTACTATATGTTTTGCCTCTTCAACAAGAACAGTAATAACTTTACCACTTTTTGGTTGTTTATTTCTCTTAACCTAAACCCAATTAAAAAATTGTCATTCTTAATATGTTGTAAGAATGTTTAGATCTATTCAGAAACATAAGAACAATGGCATTTGTAATAGCTGTGGCAATACCTCAAATTTGGTCAAAAGTGCGGTCCGGTATGTACAGTCACGGCAATGTTACTCCATCTTTTTAACTTGGCTGGAGTAATTCCATGCTTCTGTATGAGCAACTTCATTTTATTTTGTATGGAACGGTATGCTAGATAACGTAGATAACTCTTTTTATCCCTTCTTGTCACGATATGCGAGAAATAGTTTGGGGTTTTAATCCCGGTTTAATTGGTTCATTGTAATGACGGTTTGATAAAGCATAGATCAAATTATTATGATGTCATTGTCCAGATTTTAGTCGAATCTCTTTAAAAAAAACAACAACAACAAAAGCAAAGCTTTATCATTTAAAAGATATATCTTGATATGAACCAAGCCCCTGAAAAAGGAAAGTTTTAATTCACGTGTCACGCATGGTTCATTATATTAACATTTTTCCAGAAGCTGTCAACAATATTTTGTTTTTTCAAAGATCATACTTTCGATAGCTGATCTTTCTGTGTGTCTTATAGTTATTTCATTCAAGTGCCCAGATTATGATCCTTAAAAACGTAATAGCGCAACTTCCATAACACAAACGGACTTCACACCCCAAATATGTTGACTTGGTTGTTTTGTTTATTTGTTGTTAAGCGCAAAGCTACACAATGGGCTATCTGTGCTGTGCCCACCGCAAGTGTGAAACTTGATTTTTAGTATTATTTGATGGATTTTTTTATACAGAGAATTCATGATGAGTACACTTGACTGGGTGGCAACTGCCTGTTGTAGAAAACACAACTGTAGAGGAAGACGTTTCGATACTCTTAGTTATAAGCCTTTATACTTACTGCTGAGCCACCGAGGGGCTTGCTTATTGATATCAA